CCGAGATCAAAGTCATAATCTTCAATACGAATGTCAAGACAGTTAGTTCTACTACATGGAGTTGAAACTTGGAGAATCATTACAACCATTGTCAAAAAGTTACAAGTATTTATGAATAGTTGTCTACATAAGATATTTGACATTCTTTGATCGGATGCCATTAGCAACAACCTATTATGGAGGAGAACAAACTGAATTCCAGTTGAGTAGGAAATCAGGAACAGACGTTTGAAATAGATAGAACATACATTGTGGAAATAATCAAACTGTATCACGCAATAATCGCTAAGTTGGAAATCCGAATGGAAACGGAAAAGAAGAGCACTAAAGAACACACTGTGTCGAGAATTGAAAGCAGACATCAAAAGAATGAGTAACAACTTGAAAGGATGCTGGTGGTTGACCTATACTCATTGACAACGGATGACAGGCATGAGTAAGTAAGTAAACTATGAATCAATCAACATGGTTTAATCTGTGGGGAAAACATAGATTTTATATGAAAGTAAATCCACTTAATCCAATTCTACATTTATATTAATTCATATGTATCACTAGGGGGGATTTAAGTATTGAACATTCAAATGGATAATGTTCATTTAACCAATTTTATATATGTAATTCAATAATGATAATGGGAAGCAAACAAGAAATATGTTATATCAATGGATTTCTTATGATTATTTACACATATCAATTATCAGTATTAACTTCATTCATTTTGTTTAAATAATCTTGTTGTGAAGACCCAGAAAATTCCTCGAGAAAAGTCCAAAGAGGCCCTGAAAACGTTAGGAAACATTTTATCCAATCAGCATTCAACAGAAGTTTCTCGGAATCATCTAGAAATTGAAGGGTCATGTGTCACACTTCTGGCTGCATAATTACCTATCTTGCTGTTAGATTTAGTAGGGTTCCAGAACCTTCCAGAAGTTCAGGGCCATCTGAAATGCTATAAATATCTTCAATTTTCCTGTACATAAACTTTCGTTTGGAGTAAAGCGTTCCTTCCATTTTTTGCGCCTTTCCTCTCGTTTCCAAGTTGCTGTGTGGATCTAGCCTGGTGGTTATTAGAAGAGCTTACGAAACTGATTCAAACGTTCAGTCAGATGATTTATCAAATCATACAATACATAAATATTTACGGACAATAAAACAACACAACATGTTATCATTCATATCAATGCATGTTGACAATGATGAGAACATATCAGATTGCGATTGATCTGATTATGAGTAGAAAAACTGCACTTCAACATGCAAATCATATTCTTTTGATTAAGAATAGTTATTAAATCTTTGGTCAGTTTAGTATTAACGTTACAAACTGTAAAGCTGTTAGATCTGGCTTTCAATAACCACAAGAGCTTTCAGTTTCCTAAAGATTACAGGTATGCCTTGCTAACCAATGTCAAATAGAGAAGAAACCGAAACTAATCAAGGTGTCTTGATGGTTACGTCCAGTCATTTAACATTTCAACATAGTGCACATGATACGTAGTCACATGCCTTAGTGATCATACCACAACTTGATTGATAGGATCTTTTCAATAAAACTGAAGAACTTGATAGGTATGACAGTGGTCACTTCAGTAATCGGTTAGTTGTATACGTATGCTCATATATTGTTTTCCACTCAAATGTCTAGATTTGCATCAATGTTTAGTAAATATTTGTATTCGTATCGAAATACTTTCATGTTACAACTATTCGTTAACATAGATTTCATAATTCCTCAATGAAAACAGATAACTAACCAATGGAAAGTGTAAGAAACTCCAGTTGTGATTAGATGGTGGTTGGAGGTAGTCAACAGCAAACTCTGAACCCGGGTTTCGTGCTACTTGGCACTCGTCAGCAAGGTGTACCTATAATCTTGAGGGGACTGGTGCTCACTGGCGGATTCGATCTAATGTCACCCAGCTTCACATTCAGGGCTATCCGGGCCGCCACTGACCCCCTGTAGGACTGAGATGTAATGACAACTGATTGATCGCTGGGTGGTGATCAATGTCATGCTTGTCTAGTCCTTATTAGTGCAGATCAAATGCTATCGACGGTGTTGCAATGTGGCGACTAGTCTAGGGAACTCGACATTGCGTGCACTATGTTGAGATAAGATGGTGGTTGGAGGTAGTCAACAGGAAACCCTGGCCCCAGATTTCGTGCTATTCGGCACTCATCAGCAAGGTGTACCTATAATAGCACGAAACCCGGGTCCAGGGTTTCCTGTTGACTACCTCCAACCACCATCTTATCTCAATATATAGTGCACGCAGTGTTGAGTCACCTCGACTGGTGGCCATATTGCAACATGATCTATAGCATTTGATCTGCACTAAGAAGGACCTGACACACATGACATTGATCACCACCCAGTGATCAATCAATTGTGAAAACTCCAGTTGTAAATAATGAGAGGACAAATTAATTAATAAGTTAGATGTTTTCGTATAGGAGGAAATCAAAGTGAATATAACATCTGTATTATTATTAGTACTTATTTCGAGCCTCAAACTAAATACTTCTCAAATCTCTAAAGATCATAATGAGATAGCTAGTGATTTTCAGTACTACAAATGTGGTCTATACTACTCATGTTGACAGATATAAGTAGTATGTAATATCAATCAGAAGTTGAATGTCTATTAACAGAAGATTGAGAAAATTCAATTGGAGAGAATAGGAGTGTAAAAAGGAGAGTAGTTGTAATAACAATAAGATTGAAGGAATCATGAGGCATGTAAAGGACAACTGATGGAAGATTTGGAAATGATGTATTTTTTGTATAGTTTTCTTATTTTACGGTGGTACTCCAATTAGTTTTCCCTAATTGAGTTCACGTTAACTACACAAACACATACACTCGTTTATTTCATGAAATAAATTCAATTTATTGTCATCGTACTTTTATTGTTGTTTCGTGAATCAGTGACTTTTATTATTTGATAAACAAAATACAATGAAATAGCGGTATCAAAAATGTTTTACATGGAGAAAAAACATTAAACTAAACGTAGTAGGAATTAAGGTCATAGTGTGGTGCGTGCTACTGACAACGACAGATATAAATAGTGTATATCATCAGTTGAAAGTGAAATACCTGGTGGCAGAAGGTTAAGAAGAGAGAAGAAAAGAGAACGACAACAAAGAAGGACTGATATGGAAATGAAGGAACAGTGAAGTTTGAGACGATTGATTCATAGTTAGTTCATAGTTATATAATATACCCTTGTGGGCCAGGGTAATTTTACATTGGTTTTCAGGAGAACCAGACACCATCCAAACTTTCACGTGACAACCCAAACAGTACAGCTCAATCCCGCTTCACAGGATAACCAGACACCTTATAAGCTTTAACACTACAATCTGAATAGTACAGATCAAGCCTGTGGTGTAACCACACAGGTACCAAGCACCCTGGTGGAGACGATTGATTAACACTTTGCAAATGAAGTATTTACGGTATAGTACTCAGATTTTATTAAGGAATTATGCAATTTTGTGTTCAAAGAGATTTAATTGTCCCCACATTTGTTCTCGTTCACAACGATAATATTCCTCGATAACATCTCGGAATATTGTCATTTGCATTAGTGCCTAACACATTTTTGAAGCATGTACTATAAATAAACATCATTTATAACTGTACCTATCGCCAGCTCATTGAGACTATTGACATACTTATACAAAAGACTTAATGACATTCATTTTGAAGTTTCAACATATTCCTTCAAATAACCTGAGAGCATGGACACATTGAGGCATCAAATGATATAGGAATGCTGTACGATGTGAACTACAAACAAACTTGACATTCATAATTTTGTAATAACAACAAAATATCTTACAGTATTTACTAAAATTGATGATGATGATGATGACGATGATGACGATGATGAACTGTTACATGGTTCGTTAACTAGTCAGTAATTGCATAAAAATAAATAAAGTATTCCTTATATGGTGTGTGCTACTGATGTGGACAGATACAAGTAGTGTATATCACCAATGGAAAGTTGAATGCTTGTCAGAAAAAGGTTGAGGAAAACGAGGAGAAGAGAACGAGAACAGAGAGTAATTGGTATGGAAACGAAGGAACAACAAAGTCTGAAACAATCGACTGATATTTTACAAATGAAATATTTACTGCATGGTTCTCACACTTTATTAAGATATTCTGTAATATGTGTATTCAAATACATTCGATTGTACCCTCTTGTGCTCTCATTCACTACACTACTACTACTACTACTACTCATCAACACACGTGAAGGAATATTCCGAGAAACAGTGTTGATTGATTAACTACTGTATCACACTGAATAATACAACGTTTACAGTTTATCAATTAAATGTAACTAAAATGAGTTGTTGATAGGAATTTGTGTGATCATGTGAAACATGTCAACAAATTCTCCAGATACTAAAGTGACTTACTCGATAACCAGTGATCACTTAAGAAATATATTAACATTGAAAAACAGGAGTGAAAGAGTCTTCTCTTCAAAAAGTAAACAAACAGATAGACAGACAATCAAACAGATATGAGTTCTTTACTTGCATATATCGATAGAAATGTCACCAATACTACTACTACTACTACTACTACTACTACTACTACTACTACTACTACTACTACTACTACTACTACTACTACTACTACTACTACTACTACTACTACTCTTATTTCTATTGCTTAAGAACAATACACTCAAACATGAATTACATGGAGGCGAATCAATCCATCAATCTTTTGATTGACACATCAACTAGGTTGCTTTCTGTGAATGCTATCATGGAAACTAATTATTACGAATCCACATGTGAGTGTGTGAGTGTGTGTGTGTACGTGGAGGCGAATGCTTCCAATAATGTATGTTCATGAATGGATATGCATGTGTGTGTGTGTGGGTGTGCGTGCGTGCGTGATTGATTGAGTAAGAAGAAAAACAATATAAAAGATGCAGTGTGTATAGATTACGCATTTCGCCATCTGATACACATTATACACAATCAATCTCTAATTCACTCTGACTATTTCCTGCTTAACTCACAGCTTCATTCAATATCAAAATAAACACGGTCATAACAACACAATCAACGGTCAGTGATCAACACACACACACACACACACGCACACACGTATATCATACAGTTAATTGTCAGTGAGATAACCGAACACGATAGAGAGAGACAATTTGCATTGATAAATAATTCTGGCAGTAACAATTCAATCGACACGCAGTTATCGAAAAGCCTGTCGCAGGAGAAATATGGCTTCATGTGCAGAGAAATATGCCAACAAACAGCATATTATCGCTGATCGTCTACGATTGACTTCAAGTCCATTGGTGCGTGCATGTTTGGGCGAATTCATGGGTTCAATCATTTTGATGATCTTCGGTAGTGGTGTGCTAGCACAAGTGATCCTGGGTGATCATGGCAGACATGCTCATGGAACATTCATCTCAATCAGTATGGGATGGGGTTTCGCAGTGTACATGGCAGTGATGTTCTCAGGACAGTGTGGTTCTGGACACTGTAATCCAGCAGTGACTTTGGCAGCTGCAGTCGTCGGTAAACTGCCATTTCGTCGAATACCGTTTTATACATTCTTTCAAATACTCGGTGCTTTCCTCGGTTCATTGGTTGTCTTCGCCTTATATCGTGAAAAAATCATAGAATATGCCGACTTGCATGACAATGGGAAGTTGTTGGTGAACTCCACAGGTGGTATATTCGTCACTAATCCATCGGCATCTCACCTCACATGCTTTCTCGATCAAATTCTCGGCACTGCATTGTTGACAGCAGGAGCGTTCGCCATCACCGATCCAAATGGATGGAAACTTCCTGACTACTTACACCCACTACATTTGGCATTTATGGTCTACGCTATTGTTGGTTGTTTCGCATTGAATGCTGGAGCTGCTCTAAATCCAGCTCGTGATTTAGGACCCAGACTCATGATATTTATATTCGGTAAGTTGTTCATTTCCCATTCATACTATTCGCTTGCTCTCAATTCTCACTAACGAGTACTAATGGTTGCATGAGTAGACTCACACTTTACTTCTTCCATAAACATATCTGAAACTCAGATGACATCACTTCACAAATCGACCGATTGACTCACTGACTTACTGACTGACTGACCGACTGACAATTGATTGGCTTAATCACTGACTACACTAAAATAGAATAATTTCAGTTCTGGTTTTCGTCCAATCATAACTGATTTTCGTTATCATTAGGAATTGAATCAGATGTAATGTTCATAATTTTGTTAAAGTTATTTAACACCATCACACTCACATCACATAACTCCACTAGAACATTCATTCTTACGATAGTAATTCTCATATTATTGCAACATCCATTCATGTACTTGACAGTGAGTAGATTTGTTTAACACACATTATTACAAAGCATCAACAAGGGAAGTAACTCAACATTTACTGTATGTTCACTTCATTTCAAGTAGGTTTAGTTTGGTTCAACTCTCCTTAATCAATCTTACTCACATTCGTCACCATCCACTATTTCGACAGTCTAAATCCAGACACAATTTTGCCGAACTTGATCGAAATAATGATGGTTGTTTGCACCAAGTAAATTCTATCAATGTCACAATATGATATGTATTCGGTGATTTGATTAGGAAGCTCACTTTGTCATTCTCACTCACATTGTCAGTACATAACTAAAATGTTTACAATGTTTTCATATCACTCTACACTGTGATTTACCCATTTGATCCGATAGCATTAAGAGAGATGAGTCTATTTCAGTGATCATCAGATACACACTGACACTGATTCAGTCTACCATATGATTAGAAATCTTATACATTTACATCATCCACAGTGTGTTCGACAAGAGTGTCTGTCAAATTAACTGATGATGGTGATGGTGATGATGATGATCACCATCACCAACCACATTTAACGTCATCACAAAAAGCATTCTCGTTAGTTAGTTCGTAGCCTCAAATCCATTGTAATCATCATTTGTCACAGTTCAAACCGGAATTCTATTATTACATGAAGGGGAAATTATGTGGACCATCTAACTGAGTGGTTCGTGTTTGTACGTACGGTCAGATTACATCTTTGAAAACATTATGCACACATATCTATACTTATGTTAGTCATATCTACTGGTGTTGAATGATAACATATGTACTGGCACACTCGAGGGAAACATGCATGACATATTCCACTGATGTAGCCTATTTTCAATAACTTCGGTATTTTCAGGTTGGTGTTATGTTCCTTTCGAGAATGATGTAGGTCATTGAAAAACGATATACGAGATTCTGCCTAAATCATCCATTTACTCAGACTAAACACTTTGATACAATGTGACTGGATTATGAAACAAGTTGATCGGCCTATCACCATTAATAATATTACGACATTTAATACCAAAACATATTATATTACAAACACTAGTACGACTATTATAAATGAAAAAAGTGAGAGTTCATTCACCAATCAAATTGTCTTGCATGTTCACTTCAATCCAGTAAAGTGCGATTCAGTTCATTTCAGTTGGATTTAGTTTAGTTCAACTCTCTTCAATCAATCTTATCCACAATCATCACCATTCACTATTTCGACAGTAACACAATACTCACAAATCACTAGAGTATCACGATGTTCACTCAGTCATTTCCTTATCACATTCATCACACAAATCGTAGATGAATTGATAGAAAGAACTTGTCTATAAGAGATAATTGTGAAGTAACACTCTCTCAAATTCAATACTATTATGCAGTTTCTGAATGCCTTATCACAACATCAACACTGTCTAAATGAACAATGATACCGATGCATACACCGAACGATCTATTCACCACACATCATTCTCATCCATTCACAATGTGTCAATTAGAAGACCGGATGATCACACATGTTACTCGTATCATCTCATGCTATTCAGATTAAGAAATTCTGTGATCATTCATGTGCACAAATTACTAGCCTACAACAAATCAAGAATATCAGAAGGGGTTTGTGGAGATTTTAGAAATTTCACAGATTGAAATCCTGAGTCAGTTGAAGCTAGACCACCATGGAAAACCTGGAAGCAATGGACGGCCGTTTCGTCCTAGTATGGGACTCCTCAGCAGTGCGCATCCATGACCTGGTTGAACTCCACTGGTCTTTGGTGAGATATCAGCTCACTGAAGACAATGATGTACGGTGGCGCAACTTCGTGGATTGGTTGAAGTTAGACATTAACACCGATGGTGGCCGGCCGGCTCAGTGGTCTAGTGGTTGAGTGCCCGCGCACGAAACCAGTAGGTCATGAGTTCGAATCTTGCGGGGTGCGGGATCGTGGGTGCGCACTGCTGAGGAGTTCCATACTAGAAGGAAACGGCCGTCCAGTGCTTTCAGGTTCCCCATGATGGTCTAGCTTCAACTGACTCATGATTTCAATCTGTGAAATCAAAAATGATCAATCAACTGTAAAATATGAGAGAGAATATTGGTGGTGCAAAGTTGGGAGACAGGTTGACGATGAATGTGTCCTATCTTCATACGGTCGAACATTTTGCAGTGTCTCACATAAGTCATTTCATTGGAATTGAGATAGAGTGTATTGGGTGGATTATGTTGATGTGTGTAGTGGGAATTCACGATCAAATGTCACTGTAGAAGAGAGTGGAAATCGATCAGATGAAGGATTAAAGTGTTCCCATACTTTTAATAGGACATTCTAAAATGATTCGAAAAAACCATTCAACTAGGTTTATTAATTGTCCATTAAATCACACAAATGTATAGATGATAGATAACTTCCATTTACCTTTATTATCATGCATGCTTACACTAAACTGAACATAGTGATGTCACTTCTGTCGTGAACTACTGAATATAACTTCATTGTACTACTACTACTACTACTACTACTACTACTACTACTACTACTACTACTACTACTACTACTACTACTACTACTACTACTACTACTACTACTACTACTACTACTACTACTACTACTACTACTTACATTCATCTAATCATCTCTTGCATATAATTACTACAGTTCGTATCCAAATATTTTCAATATATTCAATGAATAACATGACGATCAATATGCATTACATTCAGTTTGTAATCTATCCACAAATTCTCACTTTATTATACACTGTTTCATATCACATGTTTAGGTTGGGGTAACCAAGCATTCAGTGGAGGAAACTACTTCTTCTGGATACCAATAGCTGGACCGTATATTGGTGCTGTGATCGGTGCAGTCTTATACGAATTGACTATCGGTATACATCTGGATAGGAAATCCGACTTCGTTGTGGACATTGATTATGAAGAATCACAACGCGATAGTAAGAAGTTGATGGCGTCTGCATCACCATAATCGTTGATAACCAGAAACATTCCTCCCACTCCTTCTATTCTAACACACACACACACACACACACACACACAAAAACACACTGTTATTATCGTTGATGCATAACAACCATTCTCATTGTTTTCATCATTCAGATTTTCTAAATATTTAACATTGTAAAATAGTCTGTTGATTTACGTTTCATTCAGATCACTTGATCATTCGATGTGAACATCTATGCCAAAATACAAGATATGCAAATACACAATTCATATTCTCAATAAAATCGAAAACACACACTGTTAAATTCACTGATGAAAGTATTTGTTTGTTGTTTTCCGGTAGTCTTATCGAAACACTCTATCTCAGAACATTCGGCACATGGAACACGTTAACATCTCAGTGGACGTGATCAGGAATGTAATATTGGTTTAATCAATCTTGTGCATTCTCACTTTATACTGAATCCCGTTTACCACTAAACTGACAACTCGGATCAGTGTAGATCGACAGTGTGTTTTATTACACAATGTGGTAGAACGTTCACAGATTACCAATTAGAGAATTGTGAAATGTTTGAGAAATACAAACAATTGTTCAACTCATAAATCGCTCTCCTCATTACGATTAATTTTGGAGATAATTTGAAATGAACAGGTGTGACTAGTCGAGTGAACTGAGTACTCATAACATTCACTGATGTTGTGTAATGGTGAATATTCCATTGAAACACAGAGCATTATCTCACATCTATTCATCATCACCATTATATAAAGAGAATACAAAATGTGTGAGATTTACCACACGGACGTAGTAGAATTTTGATTCGTTTGTGATGATGGAAATATTGGTGTGTTATTTGATTTGTTGAAAATTGCTCATTCTATCACGTTATTATTAACTGACTGACTGACTGACAGAGTGACGACAAGTTGTTCGTTGTTGCATTATCGAATGGCTCACATACTTCATGCTTCAAGTACACCTCACATTCTCTGTCTCGTTAATCACACTACACTCATCACATTATTGACTTCTTCACGTATATTTTGAATATATCCCATTCAGCTAATATATATCTCCACAACTAGCTAGTTTACATCAGTCAATGCTGTTATATTCAATAACAGAGTTGATCGAATTACGGCATGTTTATCAATAATTCTGTCACAAATTAAACATAAATCCAACATGATTTTCGAATGTTGATTATTTATACATAGTTGACCTAAGTAAAGTAGATGATGAAGTTAGATTCCCGTTGTTGTTGTTGTTGTTGTTGTTGTTGTTGTTGTTGTTGTTGTTGTTGTTGTGAAATTCGAATGTCTAGACACATTCACATATTTGATGGTCTGTTCGAAATGATTCACATTGTTCGTGAGACACAGTTTGATGGAAGAATACTCATTCATCAGTGATCCATTCATGTTCTTAATACAACGATGTGAACCCGGTCTCACTCGTTTCGACTTACACTAAACCTATCACTACTAATTTCACAAATGATCACTCACTCAATTCACACAATTGTAGAGTTACAGAGTTCAAGAGAACAATCAATATTCACACATTTCTCATCATTGAAAGACATCAGTTGAAGTGGTAAGAGCTTAGTTACTTTAATGCATACCATCCATTTGATACTCATTCGAAATTAGGTAGTTCAGGTATTGATTGGAATGATGATGAGGGTGATGATGATGATGTTTTCTGCATCTGTGTTCATCTTTCGGCAAAACACTATCACTCAATCACAAATGCACCACAAATCACAATCAATCACAAAGCAATATAAACAACTCAGTTGTGTAATCACAATATACTAGTGTAAACTAGAAATAAACATCCGATAACATGTAGGCTGGTTGTTTAGTAGCACACTTATCATTGATTTCGAATTGTGTAATTGAGGGACCACATGTTCCATAAGATTGACAGATTGAATAATCAATGTGAGAACTGGAGAAAATATGGTATAGAGAAGTATTTACTGAATGATTAGACGAAGTGATCCAGTTCTACTGAACATTCGTCATCAATCGAATAAGATTGTTTTCAATATGCATGATCACATAAATTTGTGAGGCATCATAATCAGTTGTTGAATAAGTACTATTTTTAAGTATCCGTATCATTCACTACAAGCGGCATCCATCTGTGAGATGATTTCAGTCGTGACGTTGATTAATAAGTCATCATTTAATTGAGATCCCGAATATCGGAGCATGATTCCAATCAATAAAATGGTGGTCTAGCTTCAACTGACTCATGATTTCAATCTGTGAAAATTATAAATGACGAGAGAATATTTGTGTCAATCCATTCACATTACACATATACCAACTAAGACAGATCGATAATAGTACCGAATTTCAACCACAGGAAACTACATTTACCTAATAACATTTAGCCATTATTTGAACTCAGTAGAATATGAGATAAACCGTTGAGGTTCGAAGATGTAGACACTGGATTGAAATATTATTCGAAAATTAACACTTAGATACATGGGTACATAGAACAAACGAGTTAGTAGCATGTGCATGTACTTGGAATAATGCCAGTTACTTACGTTTTAGTCTATGCAATACTCAAAATCGAACAATCCCATAATATCACATATATTTTATCATGTTGATTAATATTTGATGAAAATCCTGTTTAGTGAATAACCTGAGTGTAAGTGAATCACACCGAATTCTTCTGAATGCTTCAGAAAGCATCTCTCTGTGTTCGAATACTATCAGTTCTAATCGGAATAAACTTCCCGCTCAGAACGCTAACACTCCTACATCCATTCAAACTACTACTACTGTGGTGTGTGCTACCGATGTCGACAGATACAAGTAGTATGTATCACCAGTCAGAAGTAGAATGCCTGGAGGAAGAACGTTGAGAAGATCGACAAGAAGAGAGTGATTGATATGTAAATAAAGCAACAATAAAGTCTGAGACAACTGAAGGATATTTTGTAAATGAAGTATTTACTGTATGGTTCTCGATTTCAACTCGTTATCACATTCACTGCATGTAATCAACTCTTACTAATTTGTCTTCTTAATCACGTATCTATATTATTACCGGTTGACTGACAACTATTCACTGTGTTTCCATATAAACCATCAATGGCAAACACAAACAATCTCAGTAGTTCCGTTTATCACAATTCATTCATTAACATACTCCACCATTCAGTGACTGTAGATGATAGAGCATAGACAATGGTAATTTAGAGTAAAGTGTACACTTATTACGTAATATGTTGGTTGGGATGAATGAACGATTTTGTTAGTTGTCTAATTGTCTATCGAAACTATGCATATCATATCAGATATTTGAATTCATATGACTGGACAATGAAGGTTCGGTACATTTGTAACTGTTGGAATAGGAATCAGGTATATATGGTTCAGTTAACAAGTGTTGTTTGTTGTTTGTGTATCTTCAATTTTATGAAATGTACGAAATCGTTTAATACATGATAATATTGTTTATTCAGTTGGAACACTATTCACTTCACTATGTATCTACAAGTCATGATAGATTTGCTCTGTACATAGATCGCCATCTAATGTTTTGTGTTAAATAATTCTACATCTATTCATCTTATAGTTGATATCAAATTTTCATGTTAAACTGCCATTCATGAGTGGTACAATATCAAGTAAGATCTCAGTGTGTTAATTTTGTTACCGAACAATTCACTCAGTGAAATTCACTCCCACTAGACTCATTGACAAGTTGTCTTCATGAAAACAAATGTGAATGAAGTAGGAAACTTACTAATTCTTGCCGCTTCAACAAATTAGACTAGAATATCAAAGGTTTGTGCAATTCACAGTGGTCATCTTATACACTTAATAAACATGTTCATGTGTGTTAACCAGTAATATTTTTAATGAACGTAAAGCAGTTTCACTGTCTGAATGCTTTACCAGTTTGTTTTTTCACAATTCCATACTGACGATTATTATAACCTCAATTGTGACTTGTTTAAAGTGGGAATTCTTGGAATCTGTAATCGATGAAATTTACCATTGTCGTGTTTGAAACAGTTACTCACTGAAGACAATGAAAACAGTTTTTCAATATCGTTGATTGATTGAAGTTTGATTGGTATACGATTAGATTCCAGCTCTTTGGTTTAAAGGTTCTGAGTTTACTAAAGAGTTTCATACTGAGACAAAACGGTCGTCAATAAACATTCAGTGCTTTCAGGTTTTCAAGGGTTATCTTCCTTATATTGGTTCATGATTTTAATAAAATTCAACAATCTCCACATCCTCATAATTACAGTTACTTAATAATTTCATGAATAATCTGACCAACTAAATCTTTCTAACAGATACAACAGTCTACAATTTGTACTATTAAATTAAATATGATTTATAGTCCTGTTGTGGTGTGTACTACTAATGTCGATAGATATAAGTAGTATGTATCATCAATTCAATGTGAAATATCTGGTGGCAGAAGGTTAAGAAGAGAGAGAAGAAAAGAGAACGAGAACAAAGAATGAATGGTATGGAAACGAAAGAACAATGAAGTCTGAGACAATCAATTGACATTTTACAAATGAAGTATTCACTGTATGATTCTCAGATTGTACTAAGAGATTCTGTAATGTCGTATTCAAATACATTCGATTGTTCCAACTTGTTTTATGATTCACTATTCTGTAATATAGAAAACTGTATTTAGTAATTCGACTTGCTTACACATAATCAACTAAAACTCTAAAGCCAATTATCCATCGAATGTAAAAGACGGTTACATAGTTTGTTACTAGGGTTTCCCCATGTAAACATAAATCACTTAATAGTAAGAAAAAATTGTTACTTGGGAAAGAAATACTAATTATTCATTCTATTCTACTCTTTCTACTCTCTAAACCATATGTTCAATACTTCATTTGTACATCCTTCATTATTTATCACGAACTTTATTATCAGTATAGTGGTTGTGGAGATTGTTAAGCTTTTGATTGAGATCATGAACCGATTGATGTTAAACCACCATTGAAA